AAGGGGGATTAGCCCGGGTAGGGGGTACTCGCCAACCCCCTCCCAAGGCGTCTCCGACCTACAAGCCCTCAGTGGCCCGCCGGCACCCCCCGGCCCCAAAATCAGGCCCACACAAAACCTCCCCTGCCTTCTCCAGTCGGCCGAGCGCAGAGCGGGAGCGGCCAGGAACCGAGGTTTCTACTGGGGAAGAAGACTAGCTGCTTGGTTGTCAGGGGCGGAGAGGGGGACAATGCTATGGCTGGATTCGCGAATTTGAAGGGTCACAGGTCCCAGTCTGCGGGGAACAGATCTTGGCGATATATTTTGGTTTTGGCTTTTTTTTTTTTTTTTTTTTTTGGCTGCGGGAGAGGAAAAAAGCGGCGATGCGACGTGCGACTTCAAGATAATAAGGGAGTGTCCTTTCACGCCCAACAGCAAAATAGTTTCTCGTGTTGGGGAAAGGGGGTCGCAGCGAGGTGTTGTTCATTCAATTATTTTTCCTTTCTAAATCTGCAGACAGCTGAATGAAGTCGGCGCGACTAGCGGGAACCGAGGAAAGGTGGCTGCGCCGCTCCACTCTACAGGTCACAGCGGCTCCGGGACCAGAGCATAACCGCAGCCCCTCCCCACCCATTCCGGGGCCTGCCTCAGACCCCGGGCGGCTCGCTCCGCCCCGCCGCGCCTCACAACATCTCCCGCTGCAAATGGCCCAATCCGGAGACGCGACGAGAGAACACGAGCCAATCAGGGGCTGCTGACTCAGGCTTCCCTCCACCCTTTGCCCCTCCCCTGGTAGGAAAAGCCGCCGCCCCTCTGTCTCCCCTTCCCACCCCCCCACCCCGCCCCACCACCCCCGGGGAGGTGGCTCACCGACCCGCTCGCATCCTCCCGGGGCTGGAGTGGGGTAGCCCGCTGAAGCGGCGGCGTTTGTCACCTTGTCACCCTCATCCTCACTCTCTCCCAGACACACCCCTACTCTCTTTCCCAGTCCTCCTGCTGGTGCTGTTGAGGGTCATTTGTATCCTCACTCCAGCGGGGGACTGCCAGCTATTGTGTCTGATCAGCTGCCACCACCATCCTGAGGGAAAAAAGGGAACAAAACCAAGAAGCTACGGGGTCTGCTTACCTATTCCTTCTTACCACACTACCCCCTGAAGATTTTAAGACACCTCCCCATCCCCTGCTCCCCGCCCGCTGCCTGGGGTCCTGTTTCTCCATGAGGAAAAAACCAAACAAACAAATAAAAACACACTCCCTGGAGCCTGAATACCTGTGCCTTAGTTTTTAATATTCCTCAGAGTGGAAGGTGTCAAGAATTGAGAATATACAACTAAATCCTCAGCCTCAATTAGAGGAAAGACTTTGACTGGATCATATTTATATGGCCATGAAATTTGCATGTTCGTGACAGCCCCTGACAAAACTAGTCAGCCAACAACAAAGAGAGAGAGAGAGAGAGAGAGAAAGAAAGAAAGAAAGAAAGAAAAAGAAAGAAAGAAAAAAAAGAAGAAAGAAAGAAAAGGAAGGAAGGAAGGAAGGAAGAAAGAAAAAAGAAAAGAAAGAAAGAAAAGAAAGAAAGGGAGAGAGAAAATAGAGGAAATGCCTGCCAGTCATTTGGTAATTTACTGAATAGCCCACTGGGCTATAGCAGTATCCAGTTCTAGATACTGTTGAGTAAATTAACAAGAAGTGAATAGACATGCAGGGTTCAAGTAGTGTACCTCTAGTGGGCTTATAGAATATGTCCAGAAAGAAAAAACAATTTCAAGCACAAAACAGCTCCTTACAAATGCAAATGAGCATGCATGGCTAAACTGAGTCTTCATAGCTGAGGACATCTAGGGTTAAGATTTTTGCAATGGAAATTTTTATAAATGTTGATTTTGAAAAAGATTTTCAGTTTGGTAAAGGAGAGTAAATATTGGCCATGGATGGAGACATGAAAGGAGGTAAACACATTTTAGAAACTGTAGGAAAATAACATAACCTAGAAAGACATTTCTATAAAAGGTAAATGGAAGACTCAAGATTACAGTCTAGCTCCATCAATCTACCTTGTGAGTTAAGGCAAACTATTACTTCCGTGTATAAGTATTAGAGCTATCAAGTAATAATACTGACTGCCATCTATATAGCACGGCCTCTGTGCTAGGTGTTCCTCCAAGAGCTCTACACACAACTTCATGAGATAACTGTGTGACAGAGCCAGGAATAAGCCCAGAGGGTCAGCTCCAGAGTCCATGCTTTTCTCCACAACACTGTACTACCTCTACCATGTTTTTTAACAATAATAACAGCATTAACTAACCTTTACTTAGCTTACTGTGTCCTAATTATTGTGCTTTGTGGGTAACTAATTTAATCTTACCTCTGGGTTAGGCATGATTATGATGTTCCATATTGGGGAATGTTTTTAAGAGCCATAATGAGAAGTTGCCATTATATGTATCTTATTTCTGTTAGGATGGGAATGATCATGATGTTCTAAAATTTGGGAATATTTTTAAGGATCACTATGATAAACTGCTATCATATGTATCTATGTGTATGAGGCTATCTGAATGGACAGAGACAGTAGCACAGAACTAAGATTGGGGAAATCTGGGCCCTCTCCTGGGACCTCTGTGACAGCACCTTCCCAAGCTAGCTGGGCTGTTGAGAGCATCAAACTAGATAATACAAGTGAAGGAACTTTCAAAATGTAAAAACATTATTCTGATTACCGTCTTATTATAAAGCAGGTGTGTATCCTGTTTCCCCAACTAGGAACTCTTCATACTCTTTATTTTATTGTTATTTACTAGGAACGTTTTAACCCAGCTAAAAATTAGGTCAGTTCCTTTCTGAAGGCATGAGCTATAATAATATTTTATTATCGGTTTGAGCTCTCATTTAGATGTATTCTAAGCAGACCAAAGTGGACACTATCTGGGCATCTATAAAGTGGCAGACATCAGTGAGTCATTCGCCATTCCAAAGGCTGATGGTGTAATTAGTGGAGAATGTAAACCCTTGGAGCTCCCTTCAAGCTGCCCATCTTGGGCATTTCACTCATTAACACCTCCACCAGAGGGAGGGCAAGAGAAAGGAAAAGGAGCCAAACTTAAATCCTGTGGCTACTTGTTAACTGCTCCAGTGAGATATTTGGTAAAACAATGGGTTTGGGGACCACTGTAAACTGAAAGGAGGTTTGGAATTAACTGTGGGTTTCACAGTTGATATCTTGATAGTCTTCTTTATCCTAAATATCATGGATAAGCAAGAGCTAACAGTAATTCTACCTTTGTTTTACTTTGAAAAGCTAATATTTTCCTCTTTGGAGCAAAGCTAATTAATAATCTAGCTTCTTGGGATGCCTGGGTGGCTCAGTCTGTTAAGCGTCTGCCTTCAGCTCAGGTCATGATCCCAGGGCCCTGGGATGGAGTCCCACATCTGGCTCCTTGCTCAGCGGGAGCCTACGTCTCCCTCTGCCTGCCTCTCCCCCTGCTTGTGCTCTCTCTCTCTCTCTCTCTCTCTGACAAATAAAATCTTAAAAAAAAAATAACCTAGCTTCTTAGAGTTTCCCTTGAAATAATCTCAGAAATTAAGACAGCTATATTAATAACAACTACAAGACCATCTTGTACACTATGATGCTGACAAGGTAAGCAAGACATTTCTAAAGATGCAAACTATATCCTTAAAACATAACTTTTGATTTTGTTAATGGCATAATAATACTGTTGTGGTGAACCATGATCAACGAAAAATGTCGAAGCCAGAAATAGAACCAAGTGTCTTAACCCCTGGTCTAATGTCATTCTGCTATAAACTATGGAGGATTTCTACTCTGAATATAGAAGTTGGCAATTCTAGGAGGCACAAGTGTTTGCCAGTGAATTTCACAGATGAAATGTGTAATTTGGGATGAAGCATTTGCAAAACTATGTGTCTGCGGCAGTTAAGACCAATGACCCTCAGAAGAGTTAGCATTTTTTCAGTTTTAGGACTTCTTTTTACTTCTTTTTCATACAACAGTAAAAAGACACATTACCTGCTAATATTTCTTGGAAAAAGACTTTCATGTTGAATTGAACAGTCCCAGAAAACACACCTCTCTAACAAGGCATTCACTACTGTAATCAAGAGAACGGAGTAATTTTCCATAATAAACAAGATTTCTAAGATTCTTCTTTCTTCACCTATTTTACAATAATAATGTAAATGATTTACTAATTTAATGTTCTGCATTAGCTAGATATATGACATTTTTTCTGTCCCCAGGATGATTATCATCAATTATTAATTTCTAACCTAAAGGGTAGTGATGCTACTTAATTCAATGTATACAGGGCCTAGCAAACTGCCACATACAATAGATATTTTTGAATAATTTCCCTGCCCTCAGCTTATTGTGGTCTTTTCCTCCCCTGGACTAGTATTCTGCTTGGGATTTTCTTTTTGGTTTATTTGTTTGTTGCTATGAATTACTTACTTGATCATAAACAATCTTATGTTATCATTTAACTGTAACTGAATATTGTCTCCCTTTCTATCTAGATTTTAAACTTCTTTGGGGAGGATTCCTAGGGCTTTTACTTCTCCTCAGACCCCCATAATACCTACTACAACTTTCACACACAGAAATCACTATAAAATGATTCAAGAATGGAATGATGGTTGTGTCACTATTACTGAGAAATAGTGATACCTCAAGAAATTCCTGGCTGACCGGCAACTCTCCAGAGTACAAGAATATGTGTGTACATGCCTGTGTGCATATGCTTAAAATGGAGAGTATAAATTATAAGAGTTGTCCAAAAGAGAGTTCTTCCCTCAACTTCCAGAAATGCTACATCCTATCTCTACTTAACTTCACTTCTGGTGACTGAGATGCTTTTCTGGCCACAACACCATGCCAAAAGTTAAGGTCACTTGCATTTTGTCAGTTACTATACAATATTAGCCCATAGTTTATCCAAAATCTTGTATCAAACATTTTCTTCTAGATTCAAATTCTTTTTCAGCACCAGCATCTCCATAATTAAACTTCAGTGGTACAGTAGTCATATTCAACAGCATTATTAAGATTGTATTTCTATATTTAAAAAAAAACACGCATAAAAATATACGTTTTTATTTTATCCTAAGAATCGTGATTTTCATTTAAAAGCATTCCAGTTTTCCTTAAAATATGAGACACGTTTTTTAAATGTCTCCACCCACCCAACTACTTATGAGCTAGAACATCCTGTGAAAATACCGTGCAATCTGGGTAGAAAGCCATATTACTGGAAAATTGAAATATACTTTTATTATCTTGGAATAGAAAGCTAAGTCCTAACCATTCTAAGAAAGTGTGCTGGCAATTGACTTTGATACTACAGACCTAATCCCGAGCAACCAAACCTTTTTCAACAGAATGAAAAAAAATGAGCTAGCTTTCACTTTCATCTTCATGGAGCAGAAATTGGAGAGACATCTAAAAACCTCTCCATTACTTAATTCAGTAAAACTTTGGGTGTCCTTTAATATTCTCTAGCACTGTAGAATCCATTCCTCTATTCCTGTAATTGCCTGCATTCCCTACTAATCCAAAAGTCAACCAACCAAGAGTTCTTCCTCCAGACAGGAAAGATTGAAGGAATATGTGGCAATTCACATCTGGGCTTAAGTATGAAAGATGCAGGCTTGCATAACTTTTCTCCTAAAAGATTTTTTCAATTAAATTTTAATTTTAAAAAATTGCCACATAAAAGGAAAAAAAAATAGACTTTGCAACCATGAGAGCCCAATCTTGTATTACATTTCATGAGCCCTCCTCTTGCTTTCTTCCAAGCTCCTCATAGGCTGGATCTAACAGGAAGTCCAAGGTACTCAAAAGTAATTCCTCCACTCTCTTTTATATAAAGAGAAAATCTAAATAGCAAATCCTGATCAAAGATGGATGGGAAGAAAATTAAAAGACTGATGTAAACATTTTTAAATGGGGGGGGTGTAGAGAAGTTGAAATAAAGGAGCATATTAATCAAATGAGAAAGAAAGGATTTATTATAGAAAACAACTCACCCTTTATAATAAACAGAAAAAAAATTGCGACAAATGTTTTACACCCTGAAAGAAATGATATATTAAAAGTGAAATGACAAGAGAATAAATGAGATATAAAAGGAGTTGGAAGAGCTAAGGAAAGACATCGAGAAGGAAAAAAATCATACCTTTGTAGAAGTAATAAATGGATTAGAAATGAGAAAGAAAAAGAAGG